CCCTGGACCGATTTTCGAGATTCGATTGATCAACAACAGAAAGAGTCACAGCGCCGAAAGCAGTGGCGTTGAAGCTGTCTCGTCGAGAGCTCTCCGAAATGTATTGTTTCATGTGTGCATCCTCTTCGTCGTGGCGTCATCGAGCTCTGAAAATCGGTCCAGGGGGTGTGTTATCTTGTGTCATATACGGTATTGTGGTGGTCCCTTCCCTGTTTAGCGGGATGCCCTGAATAGTGGTTCGAGAATCTCGTGGCACACAGCTGCACTCCAGCACTCAAGCTACAGTACCACGGTTTAGCGCCAATGCCCTCCATGGCGGTCGTAATAGCTTGCGACACCGTGGACCGCGAAAACGGGACCACGCCTACTGCGTATGCACGTTTTCTCCTGGCAATGATGAAAAAACGGCCGTCGTTGAAATCGTGCGCTGTCGGCGGTGGTCTGCACCCTCTCTCTCTCGTTCTTAATTCACATCACCACACCACGCGTGAACCGACACAGCAGTTGGACATACTCTGCCTGTTGACGAAAAGTTGTTCGTGCCTATCTGTCGTTGGACATACTCTTGCCTGTATTTACGAAGTTGTTCGTACATGCGTGGGTCTCGACGCTCATTGCGAAGACTTGTGACGAGGGTGGGAAAAAGCCATGTTCGTGTTTAATGGAATCAGCGACATGATGGCCACGTATACTGAAAACGGTGCGCGCCGTCTGGTAAGCGACACGAAGCGTCATACTCCACCGGTGGCAAACGTGTCAGCGTGTGAAATGATTATCACACGACGGTCCCGCCGTACGTAGCGTGTTTTAGGTAGAGAACGATGACGTAAACGTGCGTGTGACACCTCCCGCAACTTTTTTTGTCAGCAGGCCCCCCCCACGTCCCTCCCGTGTCCTGCGTCGGGAAACACAAGCGCCAAATGCCTTGTGGTTTGGGAGCCTACTGCTGCTCCTCTCCCTTGCAAGAGCACTCCAAACAATTCGTGCATTGGGCGGCGTTCTCTGCCTGCCCCCCCCCCCCCCCCCCCCCCCCCCCCCCCCCCCCCCCCCCCCCCCNCGTGGCCACTTGCTTTTGTGCCGCTCAGGAGAGCAATGGAGGAGACGGTAGCAGCAGCAGCAGCAGCAGCGTCCTCGTGCTCGACGCAGTAAGCCTGGACGCAGAGCTGCAGAAGGGGGTGCCGATGATGGTGGATTTCTACGCCCCCTGGTGAGCTAGCTCGTTCAGCTGCGAGTCCCCCCTTGTACCGGTAGCGAGTGAAGTGGTCGGAGGCCCTCCACCCACGAGGATCATGTGGGTTGTTTTGTCTCTTTGTTTGAGTGTGTTTTGAAATGCTGGGGGAGGCATGCGTTCACGGCAGGGAATCGTTTCGATGTGCCCCCCGGTGGGAAGTAGACAGAGTCGTGGCCCCGGTTTAGCGATTCCTTCCCTGCCTAGAGGGGATGCCCTGAAAAGCGGTTCCAAAATATCGTGGCACACAACTGCACCTCGGCAGTCAGAGCACTGTATTATTGCCAATCCAGTTTAGCGGCGATGCCCTGAACGACGGTTATATAGTTTTGTGACAGTTTGTGACACTTCTATGTCATGTGACACACATGTAGAATGTAGAAGCAAGTTTGGATGCCTTCGTTTCAACCAGCTCCGCGGCTTCCTGCTTGGGCTCCACGGACGAGGAGCCCAACCAGCCAAAGGGGGCTTGATGCTGGCCTTTCGCGTATAGTTGTTGTGTGGGCCACCTGCTGCCATCCTCTCTTCCACCACCCTATGGGAGCATCGTCGCCCCTCTTTTTTCGCCCTCGCTACAGCGAATTTTTTCGTGAATCGCGGGGGGGGGGGGGGGGGGGGGGGGGGGGGGGGGGGGGGGGGGGGGGGGGGGGGGGGGGGGGGGGGGGGGAAGGTGTTGCCCGCATGGCGTGTGGATACACGTATCTATACAAAGGAAATTGTTTTTTGCTCTTGTTAGATCAGGACGGGGTTTGGAGGAGGTGAAGGGGAGGATGATGTCTCCGGTGTCATGCCCCCACCCCCCGCCATCATGACGTGGAGTATCTGGTTTTGCGCAGCAAACGTATGGATGACAATCAACTCATGGTTCGTCCTTGTGGAACGTAGCCTGGGCCGGCGGAACCCCCCCGGCATATCGATCCTCCGTCCCAGCATTGTTGGGATGTGAGGCCAATGGCCTAACGATTACGGCATCACTCACGTGCGCACACCCCCCCGCCTCACGGCGCTTCGCGCTTGGTGATGTGGTCCGGTGAAAACCCGGCGATCTCGCTCCTCCGTCCCAGCATTGTAGGGACGCGAGGAAAACGGTCTATCCACTACGGCACGCGCTTCCATGAGTATACCCCCTCGTCCTTCTTCACGAAGCCGACACACCATAACGTATCGCGTATGAGTACCCCCCCGCCTCAGAACGAAAACCTCACGAAGCGGACACACCCTTCCTAACGTTATCGCACACCCCTGACACCGTCCGGTTGGTTGTCTGAATGAAGGTGCGGCCATTGCATGGAGCTAGAGCCCGAGTATGCGAGGGCCGCCAAGGAACTGGAGAAGGACGGGCTGCTGCTCGGGAAGGTGAAATCGTTAATATTTCTTGGTCCTGTGTCTTCTGTATTCATAAATGCAAATGTTTCTTTTTTCTTCTTTTCTCTATTCAGATCAAGTGTGGCTAAATAATTGTATTCTTTAGCGAGGGAGAACGATTTTTTGTTTGTTCTTTCGTAACCCTTTAAACGAAAACAAAAAGAGCCAATTGGTTGTCCAACCCAGAGGAAAACGATCGCTTGCTGTAATTCACGACAAAAATAAGATGGTTGTTTTTTGGTTCATTTAACCGAGGGGCAACGAAAAGCGAAGCACCGATTGGTGAAAACAACACTTGAAATATTACATCTGGCGTGACGGTTGCAGGTGGACTGCGACGCTAACGAGGAGCTCTGCGACGAAGACCGCTGGGACATAGCGGGGTTTCCCACGATCAAGGTGTTGAGGGGCGGGGCAGGCGGGCCCATCCACGACTACGTCGGGCCTAGGTCTGCGGCAGACATGACGGCGTTCATGCGGCAGGTGAGGAAACGAAGGGGCGTGGGTTTGTCGTCCTTGTCGTAGTCGTAGTCGTATTCGAACGTCTAGATTTTTAAAGGTTTGACCAGGTTATTGGTACTATTATTCTGTATTGTACTTCTATGCTTATGACACTGCTAGTTGTTGTTGTACCTTTTAGGTTCTGGCATTTTTTTTTTTTTTCTCCCATCATTGGACTCTGTCGTCTGCCCCTCTGGCCCCTATCCTCCACTTCTACTAGCTAGACGACCCAACCGGGGTCACATAGGAGGGGGGGGTTGGACCCCCTCCTGCGGTTCATGCCTGAGGTATTTCTATCGCGACAAGGGTACAGCAATCCCTCCCCTCGCGACTTACGAAGTCGATTATAGTTTACTAACAAATGAGCTTTGCAGCGCGTCGCTTTCATCCTAGACCAGGATTTATTTAGTGAGAAAAAAAACTCTCTCTGCCGGGACTCGAACCCATGACCTGGCCCTTAGCAGGCTGCGAGGCTACCCACTAGATCACCGGGGCGACCGGTATATGTCCCTTATTGTATGTTCGGCTTCGGTTGCCATCACACACACGTGAAAAGTATCCAATTTTTTGGTTTGGATGAGACCCCCCGTCACCTTGGGTGGGCCTACCTTGCCCCTCTGATACGCCGCATCGCTGAATTACGCGCGGCATCACATCCAGATAAACGACGTAACGGTTGGGGTGCAACCTGGAGTAAATTACAAGCCATTTTGTGGGGCGTGTGGGATGGCCTTTTTCTTTCATTGCCATGTCTCTTTTGCGATGTCTCTTTTTTTTTTCTTTTTTTTTATTGCAATGTCGTGACGTTTTCCAAACCCTTTTGGAGGGAAACGTACAGGGAATACTCGAGAGGCTTCGTTGGTTCCTTTGTAGCTTCGGGTGGACGGAAAATGGGGATGGGTTCGTGCCAAACCTGTTGTGCTCAATCTGTCGGCCCCCCGATCTTGCGAGCTTGGTTATGAACGTCTTGCTTGGGCGTTGTTTTGGCGTTCTAACAGGTGGCCGCATTCCCCCACCCCGATGATGAGGACGATGATGACGACGATGATGACGACGATGACGAGGGCGAGTTCTATGACGACGAGGATGATGAGGACGATGCGGTAGGCCATGTTGTGGCGGTTGTTGTTGATGATGATGATGACGATGTTGCTGTTATTGTTGATGAATATTTTGTGCCATATCCCATATTGACGACGACTTCGATTCGGAAGATGGCGACGATTCGGAGGCTCTAGTTCTTGGTGATGATGATTGTGCCGTGTTGTGTTGTGATCGGCGTCGTTCATCTCCTCTGTTTTTCCGTGCCACGCGCTCCAAAACCTGGCAGTGCTGCGCTGTAGCTTTTATTTATTTTAACATTTCGTTCGATTTCGAGGCCGTCCTTTCGCACTGTTTCTTCGGCCGTACTAGGTATTTCCCCATTCACACAAAGCTCCCCCCCCCCCTATTCCCCATACCACGGTGCTTCACGCTTTGTGATGTGAGGGCCTGGTCCGGTGAGAACCCGGCGTGCTCCGTCCCGGCTT